TTTTCTGATTTATAATATGTCATATTTTTAGAGCTTATTTAGGAGTAACTGCACATTAGATTGATCCTAAAAATCTTAAACGAAAATCTGTAGCATTAGCTCTAAAGAGAATAATTGGGTGTCAGACTTATGGCATTCTAGCCAATATTATTGCAGAAATCCATAGGTCTTACAAAATTCAAAACAAGGTTTGTAAGATGATTACGGATAATGGGTCTAATTTCCTGAAGGCCTTCAGGTTTTAAATTTATTATAATTTTTTTATAATATGATATAAATAATATAGAATATTTGGGGAAGATAATAATAATAACAATACTAGTAATATTCCTGACAAAAATATTGAAGATGGAGAACAAGAAGAGGATGATGAAATGAAGTTTGAGATAATTGATGTTCATGACATCCTTGGTTTTAAATTATTTTATATTTAATTTTTCACCAATATAAAATAAAATTTATAATATTTAGGATCTTCAATAAAGTCTTCTATGTTACCTAGCCATCATCGTTGTTCCTGTCACAACCTAAATTTAGTAGCGACAGTGGATGCTGAAGAAGCATTATTAAATGAGGATTTTAAAAGAATATCAAGATCTACATTTTCTAAATGCCAAGCTCTTTGGAATAAACAAAATAAGTCATCAAAGACGTCTGATATTTTCAAAAAAAATAAGGACGTTATTTTTGACACCAAACACTACAAGATGGAATAGTGTTTACAATGCTATGAAACTTTTAGCATTGTTTCTAGATATGAAAAAAATGGAAATGATCAAATGGGAATACAGTATTTTAATGTGGAGGAGCATACTTTTTTTAAAGAATATACTGAAGTATTTTTAATTAATAAATAATATTATATTATATTTAACCATTTTAATTTTTTAGGTTATGCAATGCTGCCTCACTTAAAATCTTAGAAGGGCAAGATAATATGAGCATGGGATATTATGTGCCCACACTGAGTATATTAATTACCAAGCTCAAAAGAATCAATAATCTTGGTAGAGTCTATGCTAAAAGGCAACTTTATTTTTATTTACTATTATACAATTATATAAAATGAATGATTTATTGCTTGATTAGCCATAATTTATATTGGCTTAATTTACAATACTATAATATTAATATATAGTAATTATTAATTAATATAAAATTCAAAATTAATATATTATTAATTACCTTGTGTATAATAATTATATTTTTAAAATTTTTATTTACCAAAATTTATTGCTATTTTAATATTTTTTTTATAAATGAATCTAAATCTCAGATAAATTTGAATTTTAAAAATTAAAATGGTATTCTTCTTTTTTTATAATAAATACAATCGCTTTATATAAATTAGATATCCAGATCTGTATGATGATGATAATGTAATAGCTGCTATCGTTCATCCTAGTTTCAAGTTAAATTGGCCATACATTAATTTGACTGAATCTAAAGGCAACTTGATAGGCTGATGGTAACGTTAAAAAATGCCATGCCTAACCACAATACTATAGCAAGATCGAACCCGCAGCCTTCCATAGACGATTTTTTTGAAATAAATAATAATAATAATAATATTATTGAACCTCTAGATGCTTTTTTTAAATCTAAAAATACTAATTTAAATATTTTTGATGATTTTTTTCATATAAAAAGTTTGTTTATTAAATTTAATAGTGCGTTGCCCTCAAGTGCTAGTGCTGAACGATTATTTAGTATGGCAAAGCTTATACTTTCTGATCGTCGCTCTAAACTTGGGGATGACAGTACCGAAATGTTATTATTATTAAAGTGCAAATTATATATATATATGTAAATAGTCATATTTTTATATCAATTATTTGTGGAAATAAAGTTACGTAAAAAAAAAAATATTTAAAAAAAAAATCAAAGTAGCGTAAAAAGTAGCTAATAGCGCGCTACTCATTTGAAAACGATAGCGGTAGCGATAGCGCCCTACTTTTAAAAGTAGCGTTTAACAACACTGATATAGAGGGAAATTAATAAATATAATTTTGATTTTATATGTATAAATGTGGATTTATATGAAAAGGATAATAATAGAGGAAGCCATTATAAAAAAGTTTTTATATACATGCGTAATTTTATTATATGCAAGGCAATTTAATAAAAATATTGTTAATGATATCTGAATAAATGTGATAATGGAGGGAGTCATTAGGTAATATTAGAATATTTTTGATTTTTAAAATTTTAGAGTTATATAAAAAAAAATTTGCCATTTGATATTTTTTTAGATCTAAGGAAAGAGAAAAGTATTAGTCCATCGTATAATAAAAGGACTCTTGAATTAGGATCAGAAATTTTGCATATATTTAAAATTTAGGATTATGATTGATAGGGAAGAAGTGTATGTGAGATAATGTTAAAAGGAAAGAATATTGAATACATTTTGGATATAATAAAAAAAACATTTGACTGACTTACTCTCTTTGTAATATTTTGTCTAATCAACTACAATGATTCGGCAACTACATTGATGTTAGATTAATTTTACCAAGCTTAAGATAGAATGATGATGATTGACCAATGATGCAATGGATCAATCAAGCTATGACACAATAACCATTATGATTTAATGACAATCAACAGTATAATATCAATTAAGCTATGACATACACACCGTTTAATTAAAAATTAAATGATAGTCAACAGCACAATGACAATTACAAACAGAAAAAAAGAAAATTTTAAGAAAATAAATAATAATAATTTTTGATTATTTATTAGAATTCATGCAGACATTTACTTTGATTATGCGTAAATTGTTTCCCTAAACCCCAGTTTGATTTCTCAAGAAAAGGGTGTTGTATCTATCGATATATGATTGACATTTATGTACATTTTTCAATTGATTTCGAAAAAGAGATATATTACATTTTTTTTTATATTTGTTTTTAAAATTGTAGCATGTGACATTATTATCATAGTGATATATTTATGAAATAAAAGAAATCGCGGAATTATTTTTGGGCACCATTATAAAATATGTAATCTAAAATAGCACTTAAATTTATATTTAAAATAATTTTATAATAAAAAATTAAAAAATACTAAATATTCAAAAATTATATAATAAAGATGATCTTAAACTAGATATCGTCACAACGTTGTTTTTTTTGTTAATTTTGCAAATATGCATTTTTTATATTAAATAAAAGCATATGGATATCATCAAAAAAAATGGCCGTATATATCTCAACAGAGTTTTTGTCCAAATGCTTTTTTTGAAATATTTAAGATTTTTCTATCTTATTTTAGAATTAAGTTATAGATATTATTTGATTAATATAATGTTTATACCAGGTATGGTATTGAGAAAAATGAAAATCGGTTACTTCCTTTTATTTTGGGGTTCACTTTATTTTTTAACGTTTTTTTTACTTGATATTCCTCTTTTTTGTTTTTCTTGAAAAATATTACAAAAAACAAAGCTTTTTCACAAACACAAAATTTTTTTATTTTTGAATTCTTTGTATTTCTCTTTTCCTCAACAAAATAATCAAATGATAAAGAAATCGGAAAAAAATGACGACTGTTTTATTTCCTTTTTTATTATCTATATATATATCTACTATAAAATAAATATAAATTGATTAATAATGTAATTAATCTAAAAATAACAATTTTTATAATATATTAACAGAATGAATGCGCAAAAAAATCAAAAAAAATATTAATCACAAATAAAAATTAAATAAAAGATGAATGCGCAAAAAAATCAAAAAATATTAATCACAAATAAAAATTAAAAGATGAATGCGTAAAAAAAATCAAAAAATATTAATCACAAATAAAATGCTTATCATACTCCACGCTATATCTAAAAACCGATACTCTTAACATGCCTCCACTAATTGAAAACGCAACTCCGCATTTCACCTCTCACCCGGCATACGAATTTATACGGTGATTAGTTTCTTGAGTCTCCTCCCTTTGTGTGTCGCCATTGTCGATTTCCTGTATAAATCATCTTAGTTCGATATGGCTTCATTTATCATTTGTATAATCCAATAACCCTTTTGTCCCATTAACCCTTATATGGTTGATTCCCCTTTTTATTATTATTATCAATCACCTCGCCCTTTTTATTATTATTATCAAATACCCCGGTATTGAGTTAGCATACCTCTGGTTAAACTGTTACCAATAATTTTCCTCGGATACATGGGACACCATATCAGATGAATATTTTACCACCTTGAATTTTCAATTACTTATATCCTCTTATTTATAATCCCGATCGTAACCTCTAGGTTTCACGCCCCTTTTCAAATGATCTCGATGCCGTACTCCCTCTCTTCCGTCGATAAGTTTCACTCGATTTAATTTGTGTCCCATGTTTCAATGATCACCCCATATTCCCACCTTCTTGTACCTCCATATATTCTTGCCCACACGGTTTGTCCCACTAAAAACTCAGGTTTCTCCACTATCTCCCTTTCCACCTCTTGATGTGGTTTCGGCTTTAATAAATCCAATATTCTCTGCTGAAGACTGTTCTTCTCCCTTTCGACTATTGTTGTAATACGCCACAGCTATCCAAACCCCACCTCCATACTTTGATTTTCTTAACCAGTACTTGACAATCAACACCATCCTCTCCCCCTAACCATTTGAACTGGGATGATATGGCGGGGCTAAAATATGCTTTACCCCGGTTTCTACGCAAAACATCTTAAACTGTTCACTGATGAAGGCTTGACCTCCATCAGATACTATCGTTCGAGCTACTCCAAACCTGGCCGATAGATTTTTCAACGTTTTCACTACCACTTGCGTCGTTAGCCCCCTTACTTCTTCGTACTCCACCCACTTTGAGTAAGCATCTACCAAGAATATATAAATCTTATTTTCAAAGTCAAAGAAATCAACGTGTATCCTCTCCCACAGCTGAGTCGCCTTTGGCCAAACACTCTTCCTGTCCTTATGGGGCATTTTGGCCCACGCATTGCACATCAAACAACTCCTACTAATATCTCTATTCATTCCCGGCCACCATACATATTATCTGCCCCTTGTTTCATCTTCTCCACTCCTTGATGCCCCGCATGGATCATTATCAACACAGCATCTCTTAATTTGAGTGGCACTACACCTCTATTCCCTCGTACCACACATTCATCTACTATGGCCAAATCTTTTTCTACATTGTCTTCATCTCGCCATGTCTTCAGTTCCTTTTGCATGCCTTGATACGTGTTAATTCGCGATCCCTTAATTTGGCCTTTTTGAGTTGTTCCCACGTTACCCCTCCTCCTTTAGATATTCCTGCCATAACCAGGGTTGCTAGGTCAAAATTTTCAAATTGCGCGAGAAAGTTGGTATTATGCGGGAGAAATAATATAAAAATTGCTGGGCCCGTAAAGTGCCAGCCTTCGGCCGTTATTTTTAATTGACTTAATTATCCGCCTATTTTTTCATAATTAATTTATATAAATACAAAGTCGGTAACTATTTTTCAAAATCAAATAACATCTTGATTTATTAAAATATATTAATTAATAAAAAAAACCAACGATCTTTTTTAAATATACAAGAATGTAAACAAGATTAAATTTTATAAAAAAAAACGATTTTAATTTTACAATTAAAAATATATTTTATGCGAATGTCCCACAAAACGACCGCAATTGGAAATCTACCATGTGTGTGTATAACATTATAGGGATAGGCGCTTAATTATCACATATCACGTTTAAATACATAATAAGGTACCCAAAAATAAGAAATAATACAGATGCAACTACAGTTTCGGCAATTGTAATCACTTATCTTGTAGTACAACATTCAAAGAGATACTTATCATCAAAATGTTGTTTGAATCTTTTTCCCATAATATTTAACGACTCTAATATAAATGAAAACAATACTTGAGAACAAAAATGAGCAAGGCTATCATCAATGTTTTAGGACCTAAATCCAGGAGGTCAATTCTTGACGTTTTGAAAGATGGGCATACATATGCAATTCTAACAGATGTATCTAATAAAGAAAATATTAAAATATTTCCCTTAATCCTCGGCTATTTCAACAAAATTAAGGTCGTTTATTAAACTATTAAATTTCTTCCCCTCAAATAGTGAAAAATCCAAAGACATAGCTAACCATATAATGAACAGATTCGAGATTATCAATAAATTGCATGTCAGCTTTCTGATCTAATAATGCCTCAGTGAATTTGGTAAAACAGAGTGTATTTATAGAATTTTATGTTCCTAATACCCGCCATCGATAGAATTTTAAAATTTTATAAACCTTTAAAAAAATATTTCTTAAATAAAGATAAAAATGGTCCTAACATTTTGAAAATTTTTTTTCAATAATAAATGACAGAGGTATATTTATGAATGATTTCACATGTAGGAAATCTACCATGCTGTTAATGTGTAGTTGCAATCAGAAGAATCTTAACAAGATTCACAAAATTATGCTGCAGATGTGTTCATCTTTACAGTTAAAATTGACAATAAATTTTATGGCGCCATTGCTAAAACTTAATTATATTTTATTTGAAATTTTAATAATAGAAATAAATGTTTACCGTTGTTATTAGATATTTATAAAATACCTGTCATGACATATTATATATTTGTTTAACCATTAGCTCGACATCTAATGTTGTTAATGCAATCCGATTTCTTTTCTTTTTCCAGGCAGTCCACATCAGGCTAAAAATGCGCTCGGATGAGGCATTAGAATATGGTAAGGAGAAGACATACTAACATATTTATCCCAAGCATGGGGATTTATCGTTATTACGAAAAAATTCTACCCATTTCTCCTCTGCTTTTAGACCATCTAACTAAGTATTTTGGCGAATCATAAAATACAATTCCTCAAACAAGACATCAATGTCTTTCGGTATTTTTAATACAATTATTAAATTATAAAAACCATCAATTGATGGTTTCTGTTCCAAGGTCATAATATTTATACATTTGTAAATAGAGTAAATCAAATTTTGATTGTAAATATTCTAAAATTGACTTAATAAAAATATCTGATTCATATTAATTAGAGTATTATTTGAACATTTTAATATAATATTTTTAGCAATCGCGCCATAAAATTTATTATCAATTTTAACTGTAGAGATGAACAGAGCTGTAGCATGATTTTGTAAATTTTTTAATAAAGAATATTCTGATTGCAACTGAATATTAACTCCATGAAGTAGATTTACTTTAACACTTTTAGTTGATGAACTAAATTCGTTAAAACATTTCATCACAATTATTTCGATATCCACAGATAGTACATTCATTGCCTTCTTGCAAGAATTATGTAGTATATGGCATATACAGCTAATTAGTATTAATTCATTATTGTGCTGCCTCAATTCAGTAACTTTGATTTTTGCCAAAATTTACAGAGGCATTATCAGCGCAGAAAGCTCACATGCAAATCATTCACTGGATTGGCTAGCTACATTGTTGGATTTTTCACTATCCGAGGAAAAAATTTTAACAGTTTTATTGAAATGTTCTTATTCTTGTTGAAATAGCGAAGGATCGAGAGAAATGTTTTAATATTTCCCTTATTAGTTGCATCTGTTAGAATTGCATATGGATGCCCATCTTTCAAATCGTCTAGAATTGACCTTTAGGATTCAGGTAATAAAACACTTGTGATAGCCTTGCTCATTTTTGTTCTACCACAAGTAAGGTTTGCAATTATATTGGAGTCGTTAAATATCATGAGAAAAAGATTCGACCCACATTGTAATTATATAGCTCTGTGAATGTTGAACTACATGATAGATGTATACTATTTCCGCAAATGTAGTTGCATCTGTATTATTTATTATTTTTGTGAATATTTTTGTATTGCAATCGATGTCGATATACTCCCCTATACTGACTTTTGAATGAAATGATGTTGATTTATTATTGGATAAAAATAAAACAGGATAGAAAAAAATTTACAAACTAGACATGTTTTTCGAATAAATATTTAAAATTTATTTAAAAAATATAAAAATAATCAATTAATGTCTCTCAAAATTATTATTTATATATTAAAAACGTTAAAATACTATTAAAAAAAATAGCGGGAAAAATTAAAAAATAGCGGTAAATTTTTGCCGGAGATTTTTAATTGCGGTAGTTTTGCGGGAGAGAGATGTCTGCGTGTAAACTAAAAAATTGTGGGAGTCTCCCGCTGATGGGGGGAGACATGGCAACCCTGGCCATAGCCCTAATCAATCCATGCTCATCCTCCTTCTCCATACCTTTCGACTCACTATCTTCGACATTCTCTCCCGCTCCACATCCAGAAAGAATATCCAGTAAATAATTCTCTCTTCCCCGCCGATATTTTAATTGTAAGTCAAAACTGCCCACCAGTAGCCATCTCTGTAGTCTAGGCGATAACATTAGCTCTTTATTATCCTTCTTAAAAAGATGCACCAATGGTTTGTGGTCCGTATATACCATGAATCTACCCCTTATTAAGTACTCCCAACATTTTGTCAATCCAAAAATAACGGCCAAAGCGTCTTGCTCGATAACCGAATATCTAGTTCCGTCGCTCTATAAATTCTTGAGAAAAACAAAACAAAACAGGTCTCTCTATGCCGTCTAAACAATGTAATAACGCTCCTCCTACACCTTTATTAAATGCATCCAGAGTTGTGCATTTGCTCAAAAGATCATAAAATTTGAAGATCTTTTATTTTTTAAAAATTTTGTGTAACGATCTTCAAAGATCTTCATGATATTTATTTTTTTACCCCTTTATTAAAAACCCAGATGTTTTTCAATTTTATTAATATAATATTTCTTTTATGTTTTATACCTCTCCTCCTGCCTTGATGAAAATTGAAAAACATCTGGGCTTTTAATAAAGGGGTAAAAAAATAAATATCATGAAGATCTTTGAAGATCGTTACACAAAATTTTTAAAAAATAAAAGATCTTCAAATTTTACGATCTTCAAAGATCTTGCTCAAATTTTTGAGCTAGATCTCGCTCAAAAATCTTCAAAGAAGATCTTTTGTACAACTCTGAATGCATCCACAGCCAAATTTACCTCCAAATCGTTATTAAAGCATACTAGAATAGATTCTCTCCCAATTCGACATTTTAGTTCTTCAAACTCTACTTCCTGTTCCCTTTCCCATTCAAATCGTTCTCCCTTTTTCAGTAATTTATACAATGGCGACGCTATCTGTGCAAAACCTTCCACAAACCTATGATAATAATTTACCATCCCTAGAAAAGCCTGCAATTATCCTTTATTATTTGGTCTCACCATATTGGTTATTCCTGCCATATTTTTATCCAGCGGTCTCACCTCTCTCCCATTAATCTTGTGTCCTAGATACACTACCTCTGATACTTCCAACACACTCTTCTAGGCACTCGCCCGCAATCCTTTACACATAATTCTTCGGAATACTTCCGTTAATCTCTGGGTATGCTGCTCAGGAGTCACCCCCGTTACTAACACATCGTCCATGTACAAAACCTCTTCTAGGCCTTGAAAAACGGCTGCCATAGTTCCCTGAAAAATAGGAGCTTATACACTAAGTCCAAAGGGCAATCTACAAAACGCAAACAATCCTTTCGGTGTAGTAATGGTCAATAGACGCAGCACCACTGGCTTCACCCGCAATTGTAAGTAGGCATTTGAAAAATCCACCTTTTAAAAATATATACTTCCCTTTAGATTGGCTAATATCTCTCCAATTCGCGGGAAGGGATATTTCACTTATACAACCCACGGGTTTACCGTGACCCGGAAATCCGCGCACAAACGGAGCTTTCCATTGGCCTTCTTTGCCGGCACCAATAGCTTTGCCCACTCACTATATTCCACAGAACACACAATTCCCTTCTTTACCCATTGATCCAACTCCAATTCCACTTCCTTTCTCCATTGAAACGGTATCCTCCGTAACGCACAAAACATTGGAACACAACCATTTTTAATTTAATCTTCATAATCCGGGAGGCATCCCAAATCTTCGTTGAAAATTTCCTGGTACTCTTGTATTAATCTCCGAACTCCTTCCTGCACTCTGATTATTCCCCCTTTCCCTCCCTCTTCTTCCTTAGTTATCAACTCCTCTTCATTGGGCATTGTCTTGGCATTCATTACCCCGTGATCTTCTTGCGTCTTGGTATTCATCACTTCTCGAATTTCTTGATGCGGCACTACCTTCCTTTTCCCAGTCTTTCATTCCTCCTCTCTCCTTTTAATATCACGACACCTTTCAAGAGCTCCAACGTGCCCTGGGTAATTTCTGTTGTAATTGTGGTAACATTCAAATTTACTAGATTAAGAAAAACGCCAGACAGGCAAATTACTTTTAAACAAAATTACGAAGCCCAAAGATATTCAAATCTACAAGAATTAAATCTCGGTACAAATTGAGACTATGCAAATGTTGATTAAAGAAAAAGGATATATAAGGAGAAATTATGATGCGAAAGATAATGATAAAATTATGATTTTACGAACTTAATTTTTTTATATTATTTTAATTTCTTATTTTATTTGTGATTATGTAATTAGTATTTATATTAATTAATAAAGTATTAGTAGTTAATTTATTTATACTATTATTTTATTCTCTAAATTATCTCAACCACTACATTTGTTGGCCGAAATAATGTTCTATGGACATATTCAGTCTCCATAAAAACTTCAAAATGTTACATTGGTGTTAGAGAGCGGAGGAGCCCGGGCCATTACAACAATTCAGTCTAATTAACTCTGAAAAGAGATTCTAAATAAAGGGGGAAGGGGATGTATGAAATGACTATCGACACAAAGACAAAGAATGAGGTCAATGAAACATGGTGTCAATATCAATGGTCGTAATTCGAAAAAGAATTGAATTAGTCGTTTAATTAAAAGGAATTCGTCACAAGAGATCGTTATACGTACAAGTGATCGATGTAGCTAAAAGAAATTCGTTATAAATTGTTATTAAAGATATACGGTTAACTGTTATTTAAGTTGATAATATTTAGCAAAATATCAGGTTGTTGATTAACCAAAATCTTCATAAAGGGAAACGGCTTTTCGTCATTAAAAAATTTGCCGCAATAGAGATCGGATTTTTTATTTTGGATCAAAAGATACAAGAAATTATTATCGTATAAGAGATCTTAAGACAACGTGGATATCTTGAGGAGCGACTAGGTAGAACAAGTGGTCAAGACCAGGATGCTATCGTTAATCGTTGACAAATTATCGCCAGTTGCTTATCAAAACTTTAGTATAGGATAAAAAATCGATGATCTTAGAAACAAGAAGTCGTGGAAACCATCGTTACTCGCAGACAAATTATCGGCAGTGGTTTACCGTCATTAGTTAATAGAAACCGTTAGAAACAAGCAAAGACTAGGATAATTTGGGATTAAAACGAAATATAATTAAAAGAGCTAGAAAACTGTATCGGGAATCATGATAACAGATTCGTCAATGGCCTATAAAGATCAAGAGATAATCGTTTACAAGGGGTTGACAAGAAACAGAAGGAATCAAGAATTTTAGAGTGTAATCGGATACATACAGTCCCTAGAAGTGAAGAATATTAGACAATAGACCGCCGTCGTTAGAAACTAGAAGACATTAAAGATTAAGACGAATAGATTTGGTGGAGAAACAAGATCAATAAAGTCAAAATCGGAAGAAAGGAGATCATTCGCAGAATGGTGGGACTAATCTAAGTGGAAAGGTGTTGTAATTGTGGTAACATGCAAATTTACTAGATTAAGAAAAACGCCAGACAGGCAAATTACTTTTAAACAAAATTACGAAGCCCAAAGATATTCAAATCTACAAGAATTAAATCTCGGTACAAATTGAGACTATGCAAATGTTGATTAAAGAAAAAGGATATATAAGGAGAAATTGTGATGCGAAAGATAATGATAAAATTATGATTTTACGAACTTAATTTTTTTAATCTTTAATTTTTAATTTTAATTTATATTAATTTATTTTGATTATGTTTTTATCTTATTATTTAATAAAGATTTAGTATCATTTTAGTTCTAACTTTTCTTATTTGACGAATATTATAGAAAAGTATACATAATCGAGGATATTAGTCTGATTTAGTATCATTTTAGTTCTAACCTTTCTTTATTTGACAACGGTTCTAATCACCCAATCCTTCTAAATTCCTCAAAATGTTACAATTTCTACCTACTTCCTCTCTTGAATCATTTTCTGTTATTTCTCTTCTGAATTCCTTTCCCCTATTTTACCCTTAGAATTCTTTTTCTCCATTTTGGCCCTAGAGTTATTCTCTGTTATTTTCGTCTATAATTACTTCCCTTTATTTCGCTCCTTATATTATTTTCTCTTGTTTCCAGCTAATACATGAGCGGGAGGGGTAGGAACAGTTTGTATCTTATTTTTTGAGGGGGGTATGGGGTAGGCGGCTTTAATGGGGGTAGGATAAATTTTTTGGGGGGTTACCTATTGTATTTTGAGATGAAATAGGAAAAAATTGATTGCTGTAAAAATTAATACTTTTATTATAGAACTATTATAATACAATTCATCGACCAAATCTATATATTGCAAACAATCATACACATTGTTTTCCAAATAAAACTTTCTGCTATACTTTTAAAATACATTTAAAAGGTTTCGATATTTCAGCAAGCTCATAAAGTTATAATAATGAATTCATTGTAAATAATAGAGGATTTAATTGAATTTATTATCTAAAAAATAAATCCTTTATATTCACAAAATATCGATAGTTGGTAGTAGAGATAGATTAATTTAAGTTATCCTTTATTAATTATCTGAAAAGAGTATCATTATAATTAAAAAAATAAAAATGGGGAAATGTGGTGAAATTTTTTTAAGGGGGTAGGCAAAGATTTTTGAAGGGGGTTTGCATCCAGTGAAAATCCTGTCATGTAGACACTGCTTGTTTCGCTCCTTAAATTAGCGCTCCTTGTTTCTCTCCTAGGATGGTTCTTCCTTGTTTCGCTCCTTAAATTATCGCTCCTTAGATTATCCTCCCTAATTTCGTTCCTAATACTATTTTCTATTGTTTCCTCATCAAACATGGTCTCAATTCTTGGTAACACATTCTCTCTCAAGGTCATAACGGCATATTCCTCACTCGTTATTGGTACAAATATACCCCACCACAAAAATACTCCCCAAAAACTATACCATGGACCAATCCTAGTGATCCCGTCCCATCCCTACACTGCTTCTATATTCCGATTAATAACCCATAAATCTAATATTTCAATTCTTTCCTCCAATGTTGCTACAATCTCCACCCTACCCATCGCAGCCAACAGGATCCCATCGAATTGTCTTATTCTTAACCCCTCATTCTCTATCATTTCACCGGGCCAAATACTCTGATATCCATTATATCCAATTACTGAAATGGCTGCTGCCGTATCAAACAACATGGGAACCATTCTCCCATCTAAATTTATAATCACTCTTGGACAAGGATCATGTAGTAGACCCTCTTGTAGCATATTTACACATCCTTCTTTATTTGTTTTTCTCTGATAAAACTCCTCTTTTGTCCCTTTCAACCGCCGCGCCCCGACCCGTCTCGTAGATTCGCCATCATAAAGTCACAAATTTTTACAGTACATCGCCACATGTCTATCCTTTCGGCATCAAAAACATTCCATATTTTTCTCCTCCCATCTTGATATTTACTGCCCAAACTCCTTCCACTTTCTCCCGCTCAATAGTCCTCACATTCGAAGCACTCGGACCCATTTCTCACTGAGGAAAACCGCTTTTATTGTTGTAATTGCTCGTATTGTACTCCCCTTTATTATGCCCAAATTGACCACAACCCGCGCATCTTAATCTCTCTTGCTTACCAGTTCAATACGCTATATGTCCCAATTTCCCACAACCAAAACATTTCGCTTCACGGCAATCTCTGGGCATATAACATGGTTTACCACAATTATAACAATTAATTACTCCTCTCCCTCGATACTCAAAATTTTGTCTTATTTCTAATCTCCTTACCTGAGAATTCTCTATGGACTCTCTATACGGTCGCAACATTTGATTATTTTCGAAACTTAGTTTATCAGAACCATATACATTCCTGCTTATATCGCTATCTGTCCACCCCTTGATTAACTCCCGAACCGGTAACTAGGTAACTTTACCCATGATATTCTCCTCTCCATTATGCCCCTCAATGGTTAAAGTCTGTCCTTTTATTTTAACGTTGCGACTCATCCTCATTCTTCTGCCTTAACTACATATCCATACTAATAGTATAACTAGTGCTCCAAAAATATTATTTCCCAGTATTTAGCAAATTTTAAACTTTTCATCCCGGCGTTATAAATAATTTATGATTAATTTCAAAATAAAAATCTTGGTTATTTGTAATGTTAACAAGTAAGATATTATAAGTAGCGTAATGCATACATGCACACTTTATAGGTTAATATCAGACAAAATCTGTGTAAATTTCTTGTAACAGTTTTATATCTAACAAAATTTGGGCAGCACTTCCGTGTAAG